ATAAATTATTTCAATGTCTTATTCTTTTCCAGTTTCTTTCAATTTTGTATTAAACATAAAAAAAAAAATAAAAAAAAACATTCATCTGGGCAGAAGGGGGCCCACATTTCTGTCTCACAATGCCCCCATAAAACTCCTCATGGCGCCCCTGAATAAATGTGTTTGGTAATTGAAATAAATAGTTAAATGAACAATATATATATATATATATATATATATATATTACAATAATCCAACTAGAAATCCACTAAATTCTAAGCATGTGGGCATCAAAGCCACATTGATACAGTAAAACATTAAGATGGAAAGAAGCCATAAAACAGACTTCCATCGTAACATCTACATTTAACAAGAAATCATTTGTTGAATAGTTCAAAATGTGCTGTTTCTTGGGGCAAGCCATTTTCTGCATGTGTTGTTCATGCTTCTCTCTGAACAGTTCCAACCCCACAGGGTGTTAATGAAATATTCTATTATGTTCTACCACATTTCTTCACCGCCCCCACCTTCCCAACATGTTTGGCAATATGTAGTAGGATGGTACAAGAAACAGAACGACTGTTCTCAGAATAACACTTCAGACAATAGCATGCACAGTGTGGGTGTGTGTTGGTATTGTTCTAGAGCGTTAATTAGCCTTAGCACATTACGGGAAGTTCTTTCAATGAACACGGTCTTGCTCATTTTGCCATTCATTCTCAGATTTAGAGAACCCTGTGTTAGGTGGCTGTACCTTTTGCTTTGACCTCGTAAGACGAAAAGATCTTGATTAATTAACACTTAATCGTAATGCTATTTTCCACCCCAGCAATTTCATTTTCAGAGTATTTCCTCCCACATCACTGCATTGAGAATATGAAATTTGGATCCTTTTTTGAAGAATCCACACTGTTAAAATCATTGAATGCCCAGAAATAGTGATACATTTTAGTGTCAGGTCGGCATTCAGAGCGGTGTGAAGTCTTTACGGTTCAATTGGCTGGATGGGAGCAATGAAGACCAGATTACAGAGGAAATAACTGTTTCAATCAGCTATTGTGCGAATGACTCCTGGCTCACTGTCTATGATATCATACATGCTGGCACAGAGGTGTACGACCTACTATGCTTCATCTGGCTGTACCCAGGCGGCCTGGAAAGCACGGTATTATCCTTAATCTCTTTTATTTTTGCTCTGTCTATCTTCTTTTTACTATCTTCTTTTTTTCTCCTGCTTTTATTAGGGGACAAAGAGACAAGAAGCCTCTCACCCAGCAACAATGAAGCTCAATTCAGGCCGGTTAAATGAGATATTTTCTCTCTCTTTCTCTGTCTTTCCTCTAGGATCTCATGGCCATAAACCTGGAGCCGTACCGCTTCTGTGGTGTCAATATGACTGGCTTCCGCATCATAAACGTGGACAATCCTCAGGTTGCCTCCATTGTGGAGAAGTGGTCCCTTGAGAGGCAGATTCCCCCAAAACCAGACTCCGGTCTCCTGGAAGGGATCATGACGGTATGCTTCCATTTTCTCTCTGAATGTCACCACCAGCTAATCAAAAAAAAAAGAAATGCCACATTAAACAATGGCAAAAAAGCTTTGAATAGGTTCCACTTGTATCCAATCTAATCCATAGCCATACTTATTCAGATAATTCATACTCTTAAAAAATAACCTTTAAGGGAGCTATTTATTTCTTAATATATTCCAAGACTGTGAACAGTTTCAGATGGATTTGGTGTCTGTAATAATAATAATTACCATGGTCGGGAGAACAATTGTGGTACTCAAATACAGTATCTACATTTATTTGCTATGTAATAGAATCCTTTAGACTGCAGCAGTTCAGATGTAACAATCCCAAATGGTATGCCTTATACGCTGCCATTATTGAATACCATAATATCATAAAGACTGGTTTCAGCTATATGGCTCCTGTGATTATCTATTAATCTGTTTCACAGTAGTTCAAATACTCCTACGCCGTTCTGTATAATTTCTGATTATTTTAATGTAGAGGAGTACTGTTATTACACACACACACACACACACACACACACAAATGCTTTCAGAGCTACCGCAATACTTAATTATGATGAAAATACCAAAGATAGCTTGAATAACACAGATAAACTATACATTGTCGCAGTCGAGTGTTTATTGTCTTTGTTTTATCATTCAAAACGTTTATATCTTCTGTTTACTCAGTTACAACGATAGCAATGCCTTTATCCATATTAGCAAAGAGTATAGGGATTTCCTGAGTCCTATTACTTCTGTGATGCACATGTGGAGTTTCTGCGCGAGGGCGCCCTCTGGCGTCCACTTTGTAGTAACGCGAGTGTCCATGTTGTTTTCACATTCCGACTTGAAAGCACAACTCGGGAAATGAGAGCATCCGAGGAGTGCGTGAATGCAGTAATTACACTTGCTCTGATGGCAGCAGGTAGCCTTCCGTTAACTAAGCTAAACATGCTTAAATTAAAACGCCTAAAGCTAAACCTCCCTTGTATTCACATTTCTAAACCTGTTGTCCAACAAAAGAGAACACTATAACGTTTTTACTCCACAACTGCTTCCTTTTGTGATCTGACGTGGCTTCTTGTCACAGAATGAGGCAGAAAATATGTTCTATACTGTAAAAAGCATATGGTAAAAAGACTATGTTGATTAGCAATGGATTATAAAAATACTTAATTATGATGAAAATACCAAAGATAGCTTGAATAACACAGATAAACTATACATTGTCGCAGTCGAGTGTTTATTGTCTTTGTTTTATCATTCAAAACGTTTATATCTAGCAATGCCTTTATCCATATTAGCAAAGAGTATAGGGATTTCCTGAGTCCTATTACTTCTGTGATGCACATGTGGAGTTTCTGCGCGAGGGCACCCTCTGGTGTCCAGTATGAATGAAACGGACATTAAATGTGTTTATAGCGCTCAATAATGGCCAATCCATCCTATTTTGGATATTTATTTATTTATTTATTTTAAGTATCGGTTCAGTCACCGTTTAGGCACTGGTACCGTTTTAAAAGTATCGATTTAGCACCGGTATCGTAAAAAAACCCAAACGATACCCAACCCTAGATAAATATCAAGGTGTACTTTGTCTTTTGTGTAAGGTTGAAAACCCTGGCATATGCATCTTATATGGTAATATTGGATTTGGAACAGCTAACAAGACTGATGTGAGGCATATAGTTCCTACCATATCCATCTGTGTGTTGAATGTTTGAATACAGTTCATTGCAACCACTCAGTTTAGTCAGTCCAGCTATTGACTGAATGTACTTTTTTTATCTGGTCTAGTGTTCCCAACACTCTCTTATTACCCACAGCTCTCAAATCACAACAACTTTTTGCCTGGTTACAAGAAGCCTATGACAAGGTTGATATAAAGGACATCTCAGTGAACACATCTTCCTGCGGACATGCTCGATCTAGAGTAGCTCACATTGCCTGAGCAAGCCCTCATCTCTCCAGAAAATTGTTACAGTAGGATGTGTCAGAGTTCGGGCAAGTGGATGGTGTACCAGATATTTTCTTGCTTTTTATTCATTGTCCGAAGTCTTTGCAGAAAGAATCAGTCCAGTTGCTTTATGGCTGGTGACAATAGCAGAGCTGGAAAAATAACATGTTTTTTTTGTCTATATTGAGTGTTTTGGTTCTTGCTTGTGCGACCAATCCTGCTCCTGAATGGCCAGTGTCCCGCAGATTTTCCCTAACACACCTGACTGCAAGTTTTTTTTTTTGTAATTCTGAAGACCTTGATTACCTGATTCAGGTGTGTTTTTAATTGGAGTAGGAGCTAAACTCTGCAGGACAGTGACCTTCCAAGAGCAAGATTGGACTACCCCTGGTATATGTTAGAGGGAATGTTTTAAGAGCTGAGAAAGAAACTGACTGAAGAAGGTTAGAGACCAGACACATCCTTGCTGAAAGTAAGGTAGATGTTAAAGTTATTTGATGAGCTGAGCTTGGGGGATCAAAAACCTTGGTCAGATTTGTGGGGTACAAGGTTTTATGCTGCTCCCAGCATTTCTCCTGGAGTTGGTGATGCTATATATTGCCCATCTTTCAAAACGTTTTAGCCTGTCATTTAGGGGAATACATTGTGAACTTTTTTGAAGATATTCTTTGCAGATAGTTTGCAGACACTTGAAAGCAGGGATGGATAAGTCCGGTCTACGAGGGTCACCTCATTCTGCAGAGTTTAGTTTAATCCCTAATCAAATAAACTTGTCTGTAAAATGTTTGTAATCCTGAAAACGTTGGTTTGATTTATGAGGTGTGTTTGATTAGGTATGAAGCTAAACTCTGCAGGACAGCACCCCTTTAAGACTCTTATGAAATGCACATATTTTTATCATACAGTATAACAAGAGAGCGGTAATGCCAATAAATAGCCAATGGCTCAATTAGTATCTTAGTTGGAGTAATTCATTTCTTTGAGAACCGAATTCATTTGATTACTTTTGGAGGTGTGTGTAAGGCATCTTATAGGTACATTTTCATAGTTCTTCTTAAGACACATTCTGATGTAGGGCATCCTTACGCCATTTAATAAGTTATTAGTTTTTTCTGAATCTTACATGTTGAGGATGTTCAGCATTACTGGAAAAACAGTGTTATGAAAATTGAGAGAGAACAGACTTAAGGAAGCGGTGTCTGACAATCCTCATGTTTAGCTGTTGCCTCTTTGCTGTTGATTGAGTGTGTCTCAATGGGAACTTGTGGTTGGATCTGGCTCAGAAGTATGACTTGGTCATGCAGAGATTGTAGAAAGAGATTAGCTCTAGTCACAGTGGTTACAGATGCTGAAATAGTTGGAGGACTAACATCTCCTTCTCTTGTGCTGTACTTGCTTGATGGACCCTGCAGATAGATTCCCTTATATTTGTCCATCAAAGTCAGGACTCCAAACTAACATATGAGAGATACAGGTGCCACCAAATTCTACAAAATGGTAGCACTGACACCTGATTTGCTAGAACTGGCGGAGGGAACAGAAACTAATAATATAGTACATTATTTGTCTCATGGACAGTAAAGCACAGAGTTTGAGTTGGGATTAAGATGTAAATTTACTTAACAACTGTAACATCTGTAAGGAGGTTAAAAACCGTATGTGTACGTGCAATTTGTATAGGGAAAATTTAAGTATGCTGGACCATATTCTGTAATATTCTATACCACATTTCTGCCAAAAATGCCATGGTTACAGTTAGTGTTACTACAATAAATCTGTGACAAATGTTGGTAATTTGTTGATTGAAAAGCCTTCTAACTAGATCAGGGGTGGCGAACGTCGGTCCTGGAGAGCCGCAGCCCTGCAGAGTTTTGCTTCAACCCTAATCAAACACACCTGAACAAGCTAATCAAGGCCTGAAGGGTTACTAGGAAGCTACAGGCAGGTGGGTTTTTATTAGGGTTGGAGCTGAACTCTGCAGGACTGCGGCTCTCCAGGACCGGAGTTCGCCACCCCTGATATAGCCTATTCATTTGTTGCCGTTTTTGAAAACTGATGCTTTTGATTGTTAGCACCGCACATATCCAGCTACATATCAATGGGTTTTCAGAGACGATAGGTTTGTTCGGTAGCTCACTGAGTACGGATACGTACTTGAGAGGTGAGGAGCTCTGGTTCGAATCCCGTGTAACTACTGTTCAACAAAACAGTTCAAATTTGCATATAAGGAAGTTAAAATGGCACGGTTGCATCAAAAAATGTGTTTTATATCAGTTTTGTGTTTGTTAACACTATCGGGTAGGTTTAGGGTTGGGTTTGGTGTAGGGCATATTTCCAACACGATAGAGCATTAACTTTTAGCGACAGTCCCCGGATATTTGAATTCTGAATCGCCGCAATACGTACCTGAAGAAACTTAATAAAAACACAGCAATACATACCTATATCAATGTAATAAAAACGTGCCAGGGTTGACGTATTGAACCCGTGTTTTAGCGCCACTCAGTGGACATTTCTCTTTGAAACTGCGGCGAAACGTGCAGTAAGGTACCTAAAAACGGTGTTGCAGAAATGTACGCAGAGGTACGTATTTTTATGAGACTGGGTTGCCTGAACTAGATCATGCATGCCACAAAGTTTTTCCTGTTTTCAACATCAGTACTGTTTCATCTAGCTTTAAATCACCAAGACATCTGGATTTTGTAACAAGATAATTCTGTGCTGAATTAAAGTGCCTCTCACTGGATCGCGTGATCGAAAGGTACGACCATTTAGTCGCAGTTTGGAGCAATGCAATGTCACACCCATGTGTAATCAATCAGTGACTTCAATCACTTATTTTTTCTACACTTATACTTTTTTAATTATTAGACATTTATACTTGCAGCATTGGTCAGTTAAAGAACAACAATGCATTACAAAAAAAAAAAGCCTTGTTCATAACACTGAGTGCAATTCATCTAATTTGCAAATGAAGCACTTGCTTGTTAGCAGCTTATTATATTAGCACACCCTTATGCACTATTGAAACGATAAGTATGAACCATGGAAAATTGGGCACACAACAACGACATGAAAATGTTGCCTATTTCTTGAACCCTCCCCTCCTTCCTCCTCCTTCAAGAACAACAAACCATTTACTCATTCACACTTTCTCCTAGTATCAGACTTGAATCAAAGGTTGAAGAGTTCTCTTCTGCTTACATTTTGATTCAACTGTGCTAATGGTCCTGAGCAGTGGCCCAGTTTGCTGTTTGACAAGGTTGTCAACTGGTCAGGTCTTGCACTCCTCCCACTTGTCAGATCCTTTCAGCTAACATATCACCCCACCTATTTATTCCAGACAGATGCTGCTCTGACGTACGACGCAGTCCACATTGTGTCGGTTTCTTACCAGCATGCGCCGCAGATGACTGTCAACTCATTGCAGTGTCATCGCCACAAACCCTGGAGGTTCGGAGGACGCTTCATGAGTTTCATTAAAGAGGTAATGACAATCGCTCATGGCACTGCTGTCACAAACACTTCTGCTCTCCAGAGACAAGATAAGATATATAAGATATTGTTTAAATTACAGAGTATCAGCTTCTCTGCTGAACACTTGTCATTGATGCCTGTTTAAGCTCATTCCAAGTGGTTCTCTTTTTATTTTTGATTTAAACCGCATTCATTGTATACGGTGACCCCCAAAAAGTATCTGCACACTTTAGCGATGATTGCAAAAATTTCAACTGAATATTTGAATGAATATTTGAGGATTTTCAATACATTTCAATATTTAAATTTTCATTTTAAAGAAAGTTAGCACAAGCACACGTTTAAAGTTCCATAAAAAGTTTGGTATGATATCACACAATTTAAAGACAGAAAAAACATGCATAACAGTTGCTGAAATTAAATATATATTTATTGTATATCATATTTACTAAATTATATAATTAAAAATTGAATCAATATAAAAAAAGTAAGTTTAAAGATGGCAATTTGATTCTGTACTTTTTATAGTAGGCTATAGTAATAAAGATTTTAATTTTTTGATTTTTTTTTCAGGTAGCGCAAATTTCACACATAGCACACAGTGAATATGACATGAATGCGCCGTAGCAGCAAACTGTAGCCCAGCATAGTTCGAAATCAAAGTTTAAAGTTTGTCAATCACAGCATTTTTAGTGATAGCACAACTCTCCTGTCAGTGTACCATTTGCATGGTCCGACAGTTACACAGCGAGTGCACTCATGTTTATACAGCCTACAAATGCACATTTCAGATGATTTCATAGTTGAAGTTTGTAAGGTTAGTGAAATTAAATGTTTATTAGATATTCAAAGACTTGTTTAAAGGGGTCATATGATGCGATTTCAAGTTTTCCTTTCTCTTTGGAGCGTATCTGGCAAATGCAAAATCTGTGCGCTCAGTTCTCAACGCTGTCAAAATAAAAGTCCCACATGCTGTCAAAATATCAGCTAAACAGAAAAAAAGACTGGTCAATGATGATAATAATAATAATAATAATAATAATAATAATAATAATAATAATAAATGCCACTACTTTTTTATATTCAGGGTCCCTGGCCAGGCGTCCCTGAGTCTGTAAATATTGTAAATGTATGTAAGGCAATGCCATTGCTACATTTTTATGTTTCCAAATACTTTTTTTATTGTCTTTAAACAGTACACTATATATGTGTGGTACCTGTGGTATCTTTCTGTGAAATAAATAACACTCGTTCTGATGTTTTGTTATCAGTGTCATTCCTATACTTTTAATTTTGACCTAAATGTCCAAATACCTTTACCAATTAGTCATTAGTAAATACTTTTACTACTGATAAATACCGCATCATTATTCAGAGGCGATCTTTGGTTTTAATGGTGAATCTTACCTGATAAACGATCACCATTCACCATCCATTTTAATTGCCTCATTTACGTGCAGTAGATAAGTTGATTGCAGAAAGTTTGCATTCGTACTGTTCTGGCCCTGCACTACTAAACTCACAGTGTCCCACTTTCTCATCACCGTGTGCTTTGCACGCAAATGTGCTCGTCATAATCAGCTCTTATTTCAGCTCATAAGAGAGACTTTGATTGGGACTCATAATAGGCAGATTAGAGTTGTTGAACACAGCTCTGTGGAGCGGCGTGTATGAGAGAAGAGCAAAATGAGGGCCGTGGAGTTGGCGTGGAGAGCATTTTCTCTCTTTGGCATAGCAGAGAACACGAGTTCTTGTGAAATGTCCTCGCTCCTGAACAAGAACGGAGGTGTTTCATTTGGAAGAGGTTATGGAGAGAGCTGGAGATCAGTGTGTGTTGTTTACGCTTTTGCTATGCCTCCGTGCTTTGTTGCACAGTAGGAGGGATAAAATGATCAAAAGCTGCTTTCTTCCGCTAATGCTTGCCTGTTAAACAACTCACTTTTGTTTTGCATAGTCGATTGAGCCAGAAACATTCATGCTGCCAATATGTGTCATTGCAAAGGATTGTTTCTCCCCTCAAATAACCTTCTGATCTCTTAGTCTAGCATACTGAAACCTCTTGTACGTTGTCTCATTTGGTCACCATTGCTGTGCAAATAAAGAGCAATTTGTGTCTTACGTTTAATTACCTCCTAACAAGGAAGCAAATGAGGTGTTTAAACATAAGCATAAGTTAGTGGATCATAAAGCAAATTGGATTAGTGTACAAAGTACTTATCTTGTATATATATATACACACACACATATAAACGATTTTTGTAATTTTTTTATAAAATATATATTGGGAGATTTAAACACTTGACATCTGGCAACCGCAACCATGAAAGCATGTGAAGGTTTGTTACCAATGTATGACAATGCAATTGCCAAATTAAAATGAAACATTTTCAGGATAAATAACCAACTGCGTGAAAGAAAACATACTTGCTGTATTACATTTTTATTTGAGCAGAATATCTCAGTAAATATATCTAAACTCCAGCTTACATGTTTGCCTGTATTTTCAGCTCATCACATATTTTGTAGAGAGAGCTTATGCCAGGTTGAGAAGTTTAAGCAAACAAACAAACAAACTCAGATTTGGGGATTTAAGTGTATGACATCTGGCAACCCCAACCATGAAAGTTGCACTAAAAACCAACTACAAATATACTAAAAAATATCACCAGCTCAAATTAAGTAGCACGCACACATAAAAAGATTAAACCCCATAATTCTGTAGGGACATCTAATGCAATTCTCAGTAACATGTACATATTTATCTTAGTAGACCACAGATTTAACTTTTCTAGAAGTAGATATTCAGGAAAAAATTGGATATTAATCTGCATTTTAGATTGTAATAAGCAGGTTGAAAAATCTGTTCATTTTGAGAAGGCCAAGAAAGTCTCCTGTCGGCAATGTGAATAAATAATCGTGCCTTCCCCAATTAATTAATCACTTTTAATTAATTGAGTTAATTGCAGTCAATTTGCAATAATGGAACATCATCATATAAAGTGGCGTAGCATATCATCTGAAACGTGCATCACCTTGAATTTGCACAATCTGTAACTAATACATGTGTCAAGCCATATGCATATGTTAGGCTCTGCATCAGGTGAGCGGTGTTATCGGGTGATTTTTGCACCTGCGTGACTGAGATTTGTCGCTCTTGTGGCTTTATGAATATGAGAGCAGTTGTGGTGTTGCAGGAGGGGGCAGCGCCACACGTCCTCAGACAGAGATGGATACAGACAGCTATGAGGCCATTTGCAGGAATGATTTGTTGAGGAGTGACTGAACAATATGCAGGACTTCCTTTTTTCTCGCTGCAGGGGATTGTTTGTGCAAACTAGCTTAATTTGCCCAGATTCGCTGATATTAGAGGGAATATTCACAGTACAGCTATTTCAACTCCTCTGCTGTCTGCATTTTACTGTGTATATGTTTGCTGTGTGTTTGTATCTTAATTAATTGTAAGCGTGTTTTGTTTCTAATATCCCTTGAGGCAGATAGAACACTCCGGCTGAAATAGATTCATTGATTGATAATCAACTGGATTGGTCCCACTAGAGTTAAACAAATTAGCTTGCAAGATAATGTTTAGCAATATCTCGTGTTGAGCGTAGTGTTATGATATATTTGAATTGTTTGGTTAAGGTACAACCAATTTAATATACACTACTGGTCAAAAATTTGAATAATTAAGATTGTATAGACATTTTTTGACAGAAGCCTCTTATGCTTACCAAGGCTGCATTTATTTGATCATAAATACAGTAAAACAATAATATTCAGAAATATTATTACAGTTTAAAATATGTTTTCTATTTTAATATATTTAAAATATAATTTATTCCTGTGATGCAACACTGAATTTTCATTTTAATAATTGTATTATTATTATTTAAAAATACAAAAATGAAACAAATGTATTCAGCAGGTACACATTAAATAGATCAAAAGTGACAGCAAAGACATTCACAATGTTACAAAATAATTTTTTTTTTTTTTTATTATTATTTTTTATATACATTTTTTATACATTTATAAATGTTGTTATTTTAGAATGATTTCTGAAGGATCATACCACACCAAAGACTGAAGTAATGATGCTGACAATTCAGCTTTACCATCACAGGAATAAATTATGTTTGAAAATGTATTCAAATAGAAAATAATTAATTAATTAATTTATTTATTTATTTATTCGTTTGTTTCACAATATTACACAATATCAGCATAATACGGCTACATGAAAATGACACTTTGGATATACTATATGCAGATATAGTGTGTGTGTGTGTGTTTGTTTGTTTGTTTGTTTGTTTGTTTGTTTGTTTCAAATGACTCTCACAATATTCCGAATTAAATTGCTAAAGATACAAAGAAGAAAAAAGAAGAAATAATATTTAAAAACGTCAAATGTATTATTAAATACACACAGGACAGCATACCTGGAAATCTTAGATATTTTTGTTATTATTATTGTCAAAGGATGAACAGCTAGTTCTTTTAAGTACAACAACACAGCATTGTAAGAAATGTAAACACCTTTTGTCTTTCCATACTGGTTTAGTATAAACGTATTGATTTTTTAGAAGAATATACACAAAGGAATAAGGATGGTTAATTTGAAAGGCCAAAAACACTTTTTGCAAGAAAGCAAATTAACATAGCCTCAAACATTTGGTTATTAGCTTCTAGCCATGCAAGACTGAATTCACACATCATTGCAAAACTTTTCGACATGCAATTCATACCAGAGCACAAGTATGTGCGCCGACCTATTCACTATAATTCATAAATTTTTACAGTGCAAACAGATGTTTGTTTGTTTATCAATTTTAAAAATGAACTAACCAATGGCTTGTTTATAGTTGATGCTACATATTAAACTGGAATAGGATTATTTAATCACAATCAATCAATCAATCAATCAATAAAAAACACCATTACAATGTTATCAGATTGTAATTCATTCATACAGTTCTGCCTTTTCCTTTGTTCAACATTTTGTTTTTGCAAAATTGAATTGAAAAGCAATCTCCTTTGGTGGAATTGCCCTTCCTCTATGTTAATGTATTCAGAGTGTATGCAAGGGCCTAGCTACTCATGATCCCGAGTACAGACCTATTGGCATAAAAACAGAAGAGCCAATCAACTAATGCTTCTGGATGAGCTCAGCACAGTGCTGCTAATGCAGTCAGATGGGCTATTGCGATGTGGATGGGTCACACAGGTAAGTGAAACATGCTCTGACTACATGAATTTCATCTTTTCTAGGTGGGGAAGTGGAGTGCATCTGGGGGGCTGAACATCACAGAGGTCCCCAGGCAGAACGGCATGAACATCACTGACTCGCTTTCAAACCGCTCTCTGGTCATCACCACCATTCTGGTAAGGTCATTGAGATGTGTGTGTGTGAAGGAGAGCGCTCTTCTGTCTCCTGCTTTATCATTCTATGTCTAATTTACTCTTTCTTCAAATTTCACTTTCTTTTCTAGTGTGCTTTACCTTGTTTCAGGTCAGCATATGGGCTGCTTTTCAGTAATGAAATAAGTAATTCTCATTTCCTCTCACAGAAGTGCCAAATAGCTCTGTCCCTTTCAGTGTCTCAGTCCTTGAAATAAATCGACCTGGCTGAATCAACAACACAAGATGTCTTCCCCTGTTTGAAATCAAGTTTGAGCCTCAACCATCTCCCCTGACTGCTTTAGTAAGCAGAATAACAATTCTGAATTGGAGATAGTACCGACTCTCAACACATTTTGGCCATTTGAATTTGGAAATGAAACTAGAGTAGAGTTAATCATAATTAAATTATGTCATGACAACTCGCTGAGTTCATCATGGTAATATACATGGCAATGTTAATGTGGTTGGCCTTGGTGGAACAGATCTGCTACACTGCTGCTACTGCGGCAGAGAAAGTATCAAGAATTGCAACTGCTTATACATCCACAGATATGCTGCTGTGAGCATGTAAGAAATATTGCTGCTGCATATATAGCATATGAAACAACCTCAAACATAACATACATGAAATTACCGCGTATACAGGTGGAGCTGGGGAAGGTGGAGGGTTTCTAAAGTGTGCTGCAACTGCTACAGCAAGCACTAGCTGAGTGTTTGAATGTTGAGCAGCAAGCTCATTGGCTGCTGGTGTGAAAAGAAACCAGCTGACACCAGCAAATCAGCTGCACCATGTGAATAATGATGTGATTGTATCAGATTGAGTTAGAACCTATCGGCCTGCACCACCTAGAGTTTCATGACAGAACTTTGTATTAAAGGCAGGGTAGGTGATTTGGTTCACAAACATTTTTGTTATGCTGGTTGAAAGTCTCTTCACATCCCTATAGGCAATCACTAAGTTAAGTGGTCTAAATGTATTTATATTGTCTGTGGAAGGCATAGGACCATACAATTTTTGTCCAATCAAAATGTTCGGTCCGAAGATTAAGATAGGCTGCCCTGTCTGCCTGTCAAAATATGTATTTGCATACTTCTGCCCACCCTGTTTGTGCAGACATGATACGTCATCAGCACGTTCCAGCAAGAATGAAAGCGTTATTATTGTAATATTATGCGCTTTGTACTGTAATGTTTTCTCACCAGTGAATGAGACATGAGGTAATCTGACAGCGTTGCATTTGCTTTGCACAGTGATTATGCAGGGAGGGTGGGGATCTTACTTTCAAAGCTAGCTTGCTATTGCTAGCCTTTCCGAAATCGCCTACCCTACCGTTAATGTTTTTTTTCCCGTACAAATTTTGCCACATTTTTGCTTGTCTCTAGTCGGTTTAGACCCAGTTGCTACTACTTGCAATGTGTTTCACCAAACTACTCTCATAAAAGCAGGCCACATAGTAAAAAACTGTTTGCAGAGGATATCTGCATGCTTTAAAAACACAGCAGAATGGAACAAAGCACACATATCTCGAGATTCGAAATCTTATGGTGCAAAACGCTGAAGAAAAATAAAAGGTAACAGTGAAAAAATTGAGTATGCATGCACTGTTATACCTGATTTTTTTTTAAAAGTTAGATAAATAGTGTTTCAGTTTTTCTACTTCATCATTTCATGTTTAATTCAATGAGTTACTTTCCATTTCTTTGCAATTGAAATTTAGTGAAAATTGTTTCTACACCGCTATTTTTATTTTTATTTTTTTTATTTTTTTTGACTGCATAATTGCATATGCAAATTAAGCATAACTTACTGTTATTACTGGACTAAGGACATGCAACATATAAAAAGGGCATTGTAAAACTAAGTTCCACTGTTAATTTCAATTAAATTGATTAATCAATCTACATATGACGCAATTCTTTTGATTGAAAATTTTGACTGACATCCTTAAAAATAAGTAATAAACTTAAATGGCTAACCATTGCAAAAAAAAAAAAAAAAAATAATAATCAATGAATTCACTTATTGGATAATGCCACTGATCCACTCCAATTTGATTTCCCTCCATAGGATATTTTCAGAGATTTACTATAGACATGACCTTAACTTGTTACTGTTACAAGCAGATGCATGCTGGGTGAAATTCTGTTTTACCCAATGTCATTTGCCAGATAATAGCACAAATGACACATCTTAAAATAAATGTGTGCCCATTCAACACTGCATTCTCACAGATGCCCGGAGGGCTGCCTTTACAGATGTGGCAGGAATGTTTCAGGATTTTGTGGTACTGGCAACAGCCTCTGTGGACTTATTTTGGACAGGCAGATAAGTTATCAACAGGGATAAACACTGTCATTAAATTCGGAATGAACTGCAAGGCTATAATTATGTGTTAAGTTTTTGATAGGATATAATCAGTTATTTTCTATTGTACCAAGCAGTGGTCCTGGGTTTTGTTATCTAAAGATAGTAACCAAGTATTTATTAAAAGGGTCATATGTGATGCTGCTAAAAAGAACATTATTTTGTGTATTTGGTGTAATGAAATGTGTTAATGCGGTTTAAGGTTCAAAAAACATTATTTTCCACATACTGTACATTATTGTTTCTCCTCTATGACCCGCCTTTCTGAAACGCAAAGCTCATCATTCTGAAAAGCTAGGTGTGCTCTGATTGGCCAGCTATCCAGTGCATTGTGATTGGCCGAATACCTCAAGCGTGTGACGGAAATGTTACGCCCCTTACCATATTGTGATGCCTTGTCCGGCCGGAGCGACAAGACTCCGATGAAGGAGCGGTGAAAACGGTGAAAGCATATCCGGTGATCCACAGCACTAAGTTGATGTATTTCCTCAGCGACCAGCACGGATCAGCTCTAGGCATGACGAAGCGGATATCGTCCGCTTTTGGGAGGCCAACCAAAGTAGTTTCGCTTTCACAATGAAACACGACATGGCGGCGGTGGCAACAACAATACTACAGCGAGAATAAAAGTTACGCCTTCTTTCTTTGCATGAACATTTGGGCGGCGTTATGCAAATCTTCCCACAGCCTGACATAGATATGTGGGGGCGTGTTAGAACGAGCCGTTTTAGGTAGGCGTGGTTGACTCTTAACTTTTATAACGAATATCTCTTTGGATTTGAGACTTTAGTCTTTGCAACTTTACAGATCTTCTTTATGCACCAAGAGCTTGTAACACTCCAAAGAGAAAGGAAAAATTGAAATCGCATCATATGACCCCTTTAATATATATATATATATTTTTTTTTTAGCCATTAAACAGGGGTATTGAATAAGGGTCACTCGAAAAGCTGTTTTGAATACAAATAAATAATAACACATCACATGACACATAACAATTATGACAGATAGAAATTATGGTGTACCAACATCCAAAAGCTTCATTGACAACAACTTCCTTCAGAAATAATGCAAACCGGTGCTGGGACTGCCAAAGTCTAATTTGTGGACCTTAGAATATAATATGATCATATTATTGCATCAGCTGACAAATAAGAAGCTCAAGACATTTGTCTGATATCATTGCTCAAATTATAAAGGCATGTTTGCTTTGATTAAACAGCTTGTTTCATACTTCAGTCTGTGTAACTGATTCCTTTCTGTTATAGTTCATGCAGGAAAAGAGGGAGAAGGTATTGCAAAAAAAAAAAAAAGCCCCCAAAACTTAGGGAATTTTACAGATTGGGGGCTTAGAAAAGATGGTAACTTTTTTAGATTTTTTTTTTTTTTTTTGGCCACAAACTTTTTGATCAAGTTAATTGGACATCTTGTACAAAGTTTTGTTTTATTCTACGTCCATTCAATCCATGGCTCATGGTTTTATCTAAAGCAGGCTGACACCTAAAAAGACATCCATTTCAGTCTTAAAAATTCATAATATTTTATATTAAAAATATATAAATCACATGATTAGATCTGTTGCATGTCAACAATGTATGATACTTGCATGTATCTTATTTTTTCTTATATTGCATTTATTTTGGGACTGGGGCTAGTTTCTGTATAGGTACATATTATAGATACTTATATTATTAGATTATACAGTAGATGTTATTGACAGACAAACTAACCATTGCAAAACTATTTTGCTACTATTGAGGTGGGATAGTTTAGGGACATATCTGGTGCTATGGTTTAAGTGTGGATGACCTTCATAGGGGTAGGGTAATTACAGATGTAACTACAGAAATTAATTACAGGAAGGTATTTTTAAATATAAGTTTAAAAAAAACATGTATGTACCATTAAGTGCATTGTATCAAAATATTAATTTAAATTTAAGTACATAGTTGTTAGAGACACTTAATATAAAGTAGGTCTGTATTTGTGAAATGGGACTGTTTATGTAATTGACTCACAACTAATACTTAGTTACTGAGAGTGCTGACAAAGGCCTTTGGAAAATTCTCCTGTGTGACTATTAGTCCTGGTCCCTCAAATAAATAGTTTGTTTACAGTCTTTTCGGAGTGCACAGATCTCAGATCTTGACAGATCCCACTTGAAATGTTGTTCACAACACTCTAAAACATCTGTTATTATTAAGAAGTCGGGACAGGGCATACAATTGCAATGAAACTGATTCTCCAATTCAGTTCAAGGATGAACATGCATGACACGAGCGCTAGTCCTGTTTTCAGCTGCCAACTGAATATACTTTGGATTTTCTGTCCAGCTTGAATTGTGCCATTTTGTGTTGTCTTTTCTAGCTAAAATGGAAAATGCTGTCAGGGCTAGAAAGATGTCACAGAATGTTTGATGAAACACAGATAGTGAAGGTCACCTTGAGGGAGTTTACCGCAAGCAATAAATAGAGCAGTCCTGAAATAACTGTATAACTACTGGTGCTGACATAATGCTTCATTAAAACATCGTTATCTGTCTCCATAACGAAAGATGTCACAGGTCAAGGGATCTGATTTCTCAAGGACTAATCCATTGAATTTCCTCCTCAATAAGCCCTCAACATTAAGAAGAAGCCATTCTCACTGTCACTTGCTTTCAAATACCTCACAAATTATATGAACTGTACTTCTTTTTTGTTGCTAATGTAAGGAACGTTGTTCACCCAAGTGAGTCTTTTTTTATATAGCTGGTTCCCTCTTATTCCACATTCAATCCCTGCCTGGTTGGTTGATCCAGTAGGTCAGAAAGTGTGTATGCACAATATTAACAATTTGATGATAGGTGTACTGTTAGTCATGCTCATGCTCGATATCCATCATATGTTGATAGATCAGCATATGTGAATATACTGTAAAGGGCAATGTCTGTTGCTCCTATTGCTGCTTGGCAAAGCCTTGGAGGTCTTAAGACTGGTGTCCAAGGAATAATTCAATATATGTAAAGCCCTTTGTTGGCTTGGGGAATTCTTAGATGTCCAAGTACAATTTTACAGAAGAATCCCTGTTGCACCCACTCAGTTCAGTTTTAATGTCTGATTAAACTGTCCCACTAAACCATCTGTTAGTAGATGGGAAACTGAAGAAACTTGCACAAGCCCGTCACAAGCTGAGATACTTCCATGGTTCCATAATAACAGTATTTCAATGTTGTAATGGGGACTCATCCATAGATTAGGTGGAATAATTTGCAATTTTTTACAAGATATATTCTAGATGATTTTGGCAGCAGACCCATCAGATGCCTTTTCAGTGCACTTAAAGGGAATCTCAATCATATGTGGCATAAGAGGACTAGGTAGTGACTTCTGCAGTGTGGGAAGACAATTAACATCATCTCAGATGTTGTAGAACCTGGTTTGGGCCCAACAGCAAGAAGACAGAGAGATCTAGTATAGTTCCTACCTACCCAGGTTCATTGGAGATACGTGCCTCTACCTACATTTCTGTAAAACTAAAAAAAAAAAAAAAAACAAACACCTATACGTATGAATCGC